ATCTTTACATAAACTATATCTTAAATTTTTATATTAATTTCTAGAATGTTTGTATATATTGCATCAAGTTAAATTATATACACAACATGCGGAATGTTATATTATTTTACAATACTAAATCTATATTCTGAAAAAATATGAAAATGGAAACGATTAATCTATTTAAAAATTTATCATAAATTTAGGTTTAATTGTCAAACATATAATTAATAATGTATATCTTCTACATACCGTTTGAAACAGCATTGGAATACAGGCAAGTAACTAAATTTTAGGAAATTTAACTGACAAATTAATTAATGTTTTACTTTATTCAATTCTTCCGTAGTAAAACGTAATACTGTAGAGATAGCATTTAGCATATGACGTTTGCTGGAAACATCATTTGTAGTTAAATAATTAATAAAAACGTTTTTTAGATATTCAAGGTTAGCGCCTTCCCTAGATTTGCACGCTTCTAGCCTAAAATGTGAAGTACATGTATATGTATATATTTAATCAATATTTATCATTTGTATGAATTGTGAAATTTACCTGGCAATCTTTGCTTGAAAAACTTTTGTTTCTTCCTTTTGTTTCTCTTTTACATGAACAATTTCTCTCTGTTTCTCTCGTAATGAAGCTTCTAATTCTAAAACTTTCCTTCTGGAAGCTGATACCTGGACCTCCCGTCTTGCTAATTCCTGGCTATAATGTAATATCGGAGGACTATCGCTTGTTAATAATCCTGTTACCAGGTCACCGACTGGTTCGCTTCTTCTTTCATATTTTGGAGCAACTATTTCATCTCCAATAGTCTTCTCTTTCTTAGGTAATATTGCATGGAAGGATGTTTTCAAAGTTAATATCTCTTTGTCCTTCTCTTCAATTAGGGCCATTGATCGTTCTCGTTGACGTAATAATTGCTGCTCCAATGTAGATATTTTGTTGCGATATTCGTTGTCTTTTTGTAGCAACATATGCTCCAGTTTTGCACGTTCATCTTGAAAGGACTGCAAAAATAATATTTTTAATTTAGTTTACAAGTAACAATAATTTGAAGTCAAAAACAAAAAATGAAACTTGCATTCTTCTGTTGTTCTAAATTTAATCGTAGTTCTGTTTCCTTATTCATGATCTCATTATTTAAAATACGTATCCTTTCTTCTAAATTATTATTGTGCGATTTTAAAAGCTGCAATTGCGTTTTATTATTTTTGTCGTGCGCCGTCATGTTTTGACTCTGAATATTATGAGCCATATTTGCATTATTGTATTTGTATATCATTTGCTGTTTGTAATCTTCAAATTCTTGCAAAAGATTGTCATATTTTTCCTTGTAATCGACAATTTGTTCCTTGTCATACAAATCTAAACTACGTAGCAGTGCTACAAATAAAATGTATCGGTAACTGTTTTTAATAAAAATTAATTCATATTTTCAGTTATTAAACATAGAATTGACTCACATTTAACGTGTGCCGATTCATTCTTCTTATTGTCTAAATCTAACAATTTCGTATAGAGGCTTTTTATTTTAGAAATTATTTCGTCTGGTTCATTGTTTAATGTAAGATAATCGTTGCGCTCGGTGTCTTGCAAATTCATTAACTGGTCTTTCAATTTCTGAATAGCTTGTTGATCTTGTTGTCTGAGCCTATCATAGCTACCAACAATTTCAGAAAGTTCAGCCAGTCTTGCTTCTAATCCTGCCACTCTCGTTTCATGAGTCAACACCAAAACTCTAGCTTGTTGCTCTGCAGCAGCAGCTCGTTTTTGCTCCTAAAGAATAAACTGATGATTTTAGATTCAATTGCAGCATACGAACGTCGTAATTTAATATTTTTCAGAATTACTTCACGTATCGCGTTTAGATGCTGTTTCTTCATAACAGCCATTTCGGATTGGAGCGAGAGTAGAATTGGAGGTGTCTCTTTAGCTCCTTCCTCTGCTTGTTTAAGCTTGTTTCTAGTAATTTCCAATTCAGCTTCCAGTATTTTGCATTGTGTCTTATTTGCAAACTGACTTTTTACTTGCGCTTCTAATTGTTCTTTACTTCGACGCTCATCGTACACTAACTTCTGAAGTTCTCTAAAAAGACAACAAAAGGAACGAATTTAATACCTTTTTTTTGTAGAATATTTAAGTTATATATTTTGTTTAGTTAATCATATTTACCACTTACTTTATCATTTTAGCATGATCAGCTTGTTCTTTTTCTCTCTCATGACGTTCCATTATCAATTTACATTTTACATGTTCAATTTCGGAGTAATTTGTAGTTTGCGCCTTTTTCAATTTTTCCTTCAAATCTTTGACCACTTTCTCATACTGTTAAAGTTTGATCTTTAATATACGTATGTATGCGTCAAGTATAATTAACAAGAGCGGTGCAAACGTACCTCGTCTCGTTCGTTTCTCAGTTGTTTCTTGTCTAACTGAAAATTTGCTTCCATTTTCGATTTTTCCGCTGAAAGAGTGGCTAAGGAATTCATTAAAGTATCCAACTGACTTTTTAATTTTTCCACCGTTTCTGTGTTCTCGTCTGTTTGAATTCCTCGCGACTGAAAGTAAATATTTAAAATTATTATTTACGGTAAATAATAATTCGATATTATTTTAATATTATTATACTTGTAAATTTGGAGACTCGATGTTTCCAGTATTTGTAGCTTTAGATTTACACAGTTCCGGATTTCCAGCATTTTCCACTTGTTCTCTTTCTGAAGAATCTGATTTTTCTAATATACAATTTTTTGCTATTATTAAAAGATCGCCACTAATAGATAATTAAAATATTCGCATTTCTCTAGTGCAATATTAATGCAATTATTAATAGAACATACCTTTCGAAATTTCATCTTCAACATTTATTGCATCTGTTTCTTTCTGATCAGTAGCATCTTCCATTGTATCTCAATCAATTATTAAGAGATTGAAAAATGTCTAAAAAGTAGTATTTAAATTTTGTACAAAATCGACTATTTATTTTAATGATATTTTTCTATATTCTAAAGCAGAGTTGGACTAATTTTTATTTAAATAATAATGTTGGTTATATAGAAATTAATACTGCGATTTTTGATAATTGAAACTGAAATTGGTTTTTTAAGAAAAATACAAATATGAGTAATGTAGCCCCCAGGAACTGTAGCTATGGTTTAGCAGGTGGGCCTCAATAAACTATTGGTATCCCTAATGGGAGAATCATAAAGAAAGATATCTAAGCAAATGTAAGCCTTATGAATAAAACAACTGACTTGAAAAATGTAGCTGGTACTTACTTCAATATTAACAAATAATTGCTTGGATGTCTTCCACACAAAAGTCCTCAAAAAGTTGAGTGTTTGAACTTGAACTTATGGATTTTTTTTCAATAGATAAAACGGTCGTCTAAAGATAAACACATTTTTTTATTGCAAATAACGTTTATTAGAATGACACAAAAATATGTAGATTTAAAAACAGTAATTGTACATGATCACATTTCTATTTTTGACAGCAAAATGCATGTGTTCTTCAGCTGATTAAACATTATGGTATACGTTATTTGGTATCATAATAACATGTGTTATATAAGCAGTTCACTATAAAAGCAATAAGGGTCCATTTTTGTGTTTTAAATAAAATTTAATATTTGCTAATTCAAAATTATATACTATTAGACAAAAGTTGAGCAGTTTATCTGTATATTAGGTAAATAATTTTCATTCATTTATTATCTTTAAATTTTTATTAAGATTCGTCATGTTGATTACACTGATTTGATTCATTAGATTTAATTGGAGATTCTATTTCTAATGTCACAGGCCCGCTGTTTTGTATATTAACTTCCATCATTGCACCAAATTTACCATCTGTAGAAAGTAGTTAAAAGAATGAATGTATTATTGCTAGGAATCCATAGTTAATAATACTTTGGTAATATTATCTTTCAGTTAAATTCTAATATAACAATATATCACAATAGATGATATCTTTTATAGGAAATAATTTGCTTATATTAGCTGTTATTACCTTTGATTAATTTTGGTTTATAATTTTTACCAAGTTCAACAAGAAATTTATTATAAAATGATTCTGACTCTTGTGCAGGCATAGCCCTATGGAAGTCTAATCTGTTTCCCTTTAAATTATGGTATAATGTAAATTGACTAATACATAATATTTCATATTCTTTGTCCATAACATTGGCACTCCATTTTTTACCACTATCACCATCAAAAATTTTAGTATTCAGTACTTTTCTTACTCTAAGGAAAACAATAATGTATTTCTTATTTCATAGAATGAAACTGTGTTCTTCAGATAATTACAATATAAAACAAATATATTATTTATTACATATATTTCATGTCTTCCATTGAGTCGTCTCTTTTGATACCAATTAAGACGCAGAGACCATTCCCAATGCTACTAATAATTTCACCTTCAACTGAAAAATTATGCTACAATTGTATCGATACTACACAACTATACAATGATAGCAGCATTAAAAGGTAAATAAATTCTAATGTAAAGCATCACCAAAAGTTCATGAAATATTTTATGATATCGTACACATATATACGTATCTTTTACACGATGAATTCTCGTATTTGAAAAATTAAAAAGAACAAAATATGTACAGTAACTGGTCTATCAAATATAACATAATGTTAACATATATATTTTTTTATTTTATAAACTTAACGATCGGTAAATTCCCTTTTGGCTCTTATTTATATTTTAATGGACGATAATTTTGTTATTACAATAAAACACGTATAACCTAATCATTACCTGAAACGCTAGCTTTTGTCACTCGTTGTATTACTGCTTTCATATTGAATGGAACGCCTTCTTATATCGTGGAAGTAATCGTTGGCAGCGTATTGACAGAAGTTAATTCTTTATTGTTCAATATTCTTTTAAGAAAATACGCTACTACGAGATACACTACTACTAGTAATATCCAACGAACGAACCAATAGGAAAGTCGGTGCATTCGGAAAGCTTATTTCCGCGTATAGACTTCCTGTAGTGCAGTTTGACTTTTCAAAGATTGTTTACAAGCAAATTGCAGAGTGCATAATCGTTGAAAAGGCCTAATAATCTCGGGGTTGTTTGTCGTGGACTTACCGAGATTAATGAAAAATGACCTTATTAAGACTTTGTAATGTATTACGGAACGTGAGATGGTAGCTCGAACTAATTTTCTATGACCCACTTGTTGCGTTTAGGTTATGGTGTTATAAACAAAAATATGTTGGGCATAAATGTTTGGTTTTCATGATCAGTTCTTGTATGCCAGACGGTAGGGATGGAGGGCCCAGGTCTGAGCTTGTTTCAAGGCTCGGAAAGTATACGATTAAATGCAAGTACGCAAGGCTTAGAAGAGGATGAAGAACAAGAAGACATCAAGCGACGTAACATGGAGGTGTATCTTACTTTATGTTAACTTACCTCTGTCTAAGTTTATTATAAGATGTTATCTCCAGTCTTCTCTAGAAATATGAACGATTGATAATTGTTTACAATGTTGCCGACTTCAATGATTTCAACAACTTTGTAGTATCATGAAACATTAAGCATTTTAGAATGATGAATTTGTCGCTTGCTTTTAGCTTCCAAGGTATATCTATTGGAGTAAGAATACTTCAGCAAAAAGGCTGTTGAAGTTGGCAAAGTTGGTGCTATTATAAATAATTGCCAAACAATTTGATTTAAAAATAATTTATTTTAAAGACTACAATAATAATACAAGTTTTGATATTTCAGATCAAAGACCTCCTGACAAATGCATTCGATGACTTAGAGGAGGAGGACGACATTAGTTCTGTGAATAGCAGTCATTATCGAGATAGTACTAAGGAAGCAGAGGATTCGAATGTAGAAATAAATTCTTGTGCCCAAGGTGTCGTATCACCTAATAGCCAAACGGTGTCACAGTTACAAAAAGAATTTGGGATTTATGATCATGTTGAAAATTCAAACAACTATGACAATGCTATGACAAATCATAGGTCAGAGTTAGAAATTGGCCCTTCAATCTCTGACGTACAAAGAGATTTTAGCGCGTACGATCAAACCGATATACCATATTCTAAAAGTAATAGGAGTAATGATCTGCATAATGCTGCTACCGAAACACCTTACGAATTGGCGAGACCGCTGAATTCTGGATTTCCTAAAAATTTAAGACCTCAAATTGACGAAGAATATACTTTTAATGAAAATTATCCATATAATTATCAAACACCAGCTAATCATTATGTTGCTCAAAATAAAACTTATTCGAATAATGGTTATATCGATGGTTACGAAAATAGTGTACAATCTAAACAAATTCATGACTTCGGAGGCGGTGATAATGTTACTTCCGATCACATAAATCATTGCTACAAAGCAAGTCCAAACGGTAGGCCACTGGATGACTGTGTAGCTTATAAAACTGCCGAGTACGATAGTAAAGAGCAGTTAGAAGTTTTATATACAGTTCGAATGAGAGAAATTAAAAAATTAACAGAAGAAATGCAACAATTACAATTGGAGAGAGAAGAAGAAAAAAGTCAGCTCAGTAGAAAAATTACACTTTTACAAGCGGAAATAGAAAGATCAAGCATGTCGAGGAATCAAACGCAGCATGCTCTAGGTAAGATGTAATAAAATGCGATGGTCGCGTATACATATAATAGATAATAGATAATAGAATAAATAGATATAAATGGATTATATAAACTCAATTTCTTATAGTTGATGCAAAAGCTGAAATTGCCGATCTCCACAATCAAATAACATCGTTAAAAGAGAAGAATGCAGTTTTAGAAAAAACTAATCAAAACGTAAGAATCCTTTTGCGTTTTGTAATTTGTCCTTATTATTGCGTCTTAACTTATTGTTTATTTTAATTATAAATTTTAGACAACAGAGGAACTAAATATTGCAAAAGATTCTGTTGCAGAATTGCAACAGAAAATAGCTGTATTAGAAAGAGTACAAGCATTGCAAACGAATGACAAAACACACGAAAAATTTTTAAAGCAGGCACAAGAGAAACATGCAGTTGAAATAAAAAATATGCAGACACAAATAAATGTTCTCACGGACAAACTTAATACAAAGGTGTTTATAAATTTATACTTAATATTTATACATACTTGTTTTTAGTTTTATCGTATCACATTTGACTGAAAAAGAAACATTTTGATTTATTTGTAATTTTTAAATATATGTAAATATGTATAACAGCAATATTTGTCATAGCTGCTCAATGTGGATACCAACGCTCTTTGTATACGGGCAAGTTTTTGATATTGTATTTTTTAAAGTTTAAACAAAACATTCATTGTTCATAAATAATTATGTTGAGTTTTAGTTCGTAATTCATTTTTAAACAAAATTAAAAATATTGTATGACAAAATTTATTACAAGAAAACATTTTTTCATACAGTTTATTAAACAGTGTTTAATATTTACTTTTTTTTTATTAACAGGAAACATCGTATGTTGCTTTGGAAAATAAGTTAGCTGATGTACGAAGAGCACATGAGATGCTTATGGTGGAGAAAGGGGATACTATGAATCGTCTAGCACAAGCATTAGAAGAAAGCCAAGCACAATGCCATAATCTCATGGCTACAAATAATGCTCAACATTTAATGCAACTTCAAACACAAATTAAGATTCTAACCCAAGAAAAAGAGGAAATGCAAAAAGTGATTCAAGAATTACAGGTATGAGCTAATTGATGATTACAGGAAAAAATGTATAGAAGATATATATTTGTGTCTAGACTGAATAAAGAAAGTTATATATAAATAAAAATGTATTTACAGAACAAATTAGAGGTAGCAAAAAGTGACGTAGCACAATACGATTCGTTATTAACGACAACTTTAGAAGAAGAATCCGATTCTATGAGACAAATGAAGTTAGGTGAACTTCACAATAGATCGAAATCAAAGCCATCCGATGATATGGCAAATAAATTAAGGGGGGAATTACAAAGGTAGTTGATGTTTACCTCAAATATTATTATGTTGCTCAATCGTCGTTCAACATAACATCTACTTCTAATACCGCATTATTAATTTTTAGGTGTTTAGCTGGACACGCTGTTAAGAGAAAGGAAATAACTCGATTAGAGAACACTTTATCGCAAAAAGAAAAAGAAGTTGACAAAGCTTTAACAGTAGCTGATATGTGCAGGCAAGAAGCGGCTCGATACGCTAAACGTGTTAACGAGTTGGAGCAAGAACTTAAGTCTGTACTTACAGATCAAGCTGTAAAAGCGAATGCTCAAATACAAAAGTTATCTAATCATTTAAGCGATGTAAAGAAACAATACGAATCACTAAGAGAAGAAAAAGTCGGATTGGAGCAAAAGTTAGAAGAAACGTTAGCGATTAATCAAGAAACGCTTAAGAAGTTACACCAAGAAAGTGTAAATCAGCAAGAAAAAGACGCCATTGACGAGTACAATAAAGAGTATTTAGAGATACATGCTAAGGCTGTAGAAAGAGTTAGACAAGAGGCACAAATTGAAGTAGTGCAATTATCGTAAGTATGAGTATGATGGCGGTGTTAAATTGTATTTAGAACATTAAAAATATATACAATTTATGTATTAATTTTTAGCGTGCAATTGGAACAAACGCAGAAAGAGTTGGATCGCGTTAAAGAATTGTATATAGACGTCTGTAGTACAAAGGAACAGTTAATAAGTGAACACAAGTCTGAAATCAAAATGTTAAAAGAAAAATATGCTAATCTAGAAGAACGGGAAAATGATATTGAGAAATACAAACATGACTTGCGGGCCCAAGTAAAAATAGCAGAAAAATTGACAAAGGAATGTGACATGTATAGAGCTAAAATAATTGAATTAGAAAAAAATTTAAGCCATGAAAGAAAGAAAAAAGAAGAATACACAAAGAAAATTCATCAAGAAATCGAAAGAGGTAAATATCATAAATAAGTATAATATTATAAATAAATAAAACTTGAATATTCTTTATTGGGATTAATATTAAAACAAAGTTTTACCGATATGATATTTACAGCTAAAGAGGAAGCATTAAAAGAATTACGCAATGCTTATCCTAATCAAGAAATAAGTGTTCTCTTGCCAGATCATTGTTCCGAACATTTAGAGAAAATTAATCAGGTAGGTATATTCTAAGAAAAAATTATTTTATCCATGTAATTGTTTAATTTCTCAAATTTGATGTACTTACAGCTAGAAGAAGATTGTAAGCGGTTAGAGGAAAAATTGCATGCTGCAGTTGACGTACATAAAAGAATGTCGGAATATCAATCTGAATTAGATGATTCCAGATTGAAAATAGCACAAATAGAAATTTCTCAAGAGTCGTGGAAAAAGAAATACGAAAACGCAGTAAGCGAAAGAAATGATCTACTTAGTAAAATTTCTCAGCTCGAGTCAACTTTATCGAGTAGTAAGAGAAATTCTAAAATGGACGATTCCGATGATGTCAAACTGAAAGTAACTCGATATCAAGTGGAAAACGAAGCTTTAAAAAAAGAATGCGAAGATTTGTCTAGCGAAAGAAATATTTATAAGGATAAAATTTCCCAATTAGAAGCAGAATTATCGGAAGCCAAGAAGATAATTGGAAATTTTGAGAGTAGGTTCAGAAAAAGTAGCGAAGTCTCTTTAACTTCGAAATGTGAATTGGAAAAAGAACTCTCTCATTACAAAGATTTGGTAACGCAATTAAGTAGCAAAATAAGTATTTTAAAAGCCGGAAGAAAGGGTGATCTAGTTATGGAGCAAAGAACTAGACAATTAGAACAAGATTTACAAGGGAAAAACGAAAAGCTGGAAAGATTAAAAGATTTCGAGAAAATAAAAGAAGAAAGGGATCAACTTGTCCAAAAATTAAAATATCAAGCGAAGCAGTTTGAACAGTATGTTAAAAATCAAAAACAGGTGTCCGCTGAATTAAATTTATCGCCACGCAGTTGTGGCGACGGTACTGATTTTCAAAAAATAAAAGAAATCATGATAAAGGAAGTTCGCGAAGAGATGGAGCAAAAAGTAGTTGAAGAGCTTAGAGGTATTGAAGAACATCATCGAGAGAAGAGAAAGGAATTAGAAGAAAAATATAAAATAGTTTTATTAGAACTACAAACCAAATGTAATGAAAAGGCACAGGAGGTGGAAACTTTGAAAGAAGCTATGATCTCGGAAAAGGTAAAAATTCATTCATCTTTCAAAGCAAAGGAGCAATTTGTTTGTCAAATGATTGAATCAAAATTTGAAACTTACTACAAAGAATTGGTAGCTCGAAAGTTGAAAATCGAAAAGTTACAGGAAGAATTAAATCAAAAAGAAAACGATGTTGAGGAGGAAAGAAATCTAATGGCTCAAGTAATGACTAAATGGGCTGCAGAGATTAGGGAAATAAAAGATAAAGAAGTTGAGATGAATGATAAGTTACGAGAATTAAAGGAGAGTGAATCACATTTGAAAGCAGAAATAGATACACTGAAAGACAAGGAGAAAGAAATGAAAACTAATATTGATACGTTAAAACATAAGTATCAGTCAGCAAAGAAAACGGCAAATAATTACAAGGTAATTACGTAATGTCAAAATAAATGAAGAATGCTTTTATGCATTTTATTAACTTTTATTGTTTCAATATTAATACACAAATTATTGTAGGAGCATGCGGAAAATAAGGAGAAGTTCTTATTAAGTGAATGTAAACGTATAGAAGAAGGGTATAAAAGAGCCATGAATCAAGTACAACAAAAACTTGAAGCAATTGTTAGTACTCAAGAAGAACAAGTAGCGACTAAGCTTAAAGAGCTTGAATGTCAGTATACCGAAAGAATGGAACAAATGCGACTTACACTGAAGTACAAAAATAAATGTTGAAGTATGTATTAATATTTTAGTATGCAATATAGCTTTCGTAGTTTAAAAGCAAAACGTAGTTAGAAGAGGCTAGATATTTTTTAATTTAAAGCACTTTATTGTACAACACTGTAGTAGAAGATTTTTATTTTAGGGACCAATAAGTTAAAATTGATATATGTACATTGATAGAATTATTAATATTTGTTTGCTGTACAACAGTAAATAATACAGCAAACATTAATGTAATTTTAAAGGCAAATACGAAAGTACAATTTCCCGGTTAATTAATATAGAGTAATAGTTAAATATTAAAATCTATATGTTAGTTGAAAAAAAACTGAAATTGTAAAAAGAGAAAAGAATTATACATTAATCATTTCATAACTTTATAAATTATCTAGATTTAAATCATAAACGAATACTCCCGAATAAGTAAGATAGAAACTTTTAGTCGCGTGTTTTCAATAAACATTATGACATAATATTATAATGCAAGACTGGATCATTACTAGATCTTTTTTTCTTACGAAGTGGGTAGAGTTCTCATAGAGTTTAAGAAAGATTAAGTTGTAGTAGCAAAATAAACATACTTTTCTTGTGACTAAGGATGTCAAAGTATACCCTTGAGTATTAAGAAACTGTTCGAAAAGTGTGTACTGACATTTGATTAATATATGGAAATTGGAAAAGTTTCTGTCGGTCTAGTATTCAGAAATTCGAGCTTGACAAATCTTTTGTTAATTTTATCTCATTTTTGAACACATATATATGAAATGTTTTGTACAAACTAATACATATAAATATCTTGTAAATGAAGTAAGAAGCCATAATTTTTTTTAATCTTATAATTTATTTTATAAGATTATTCATGCGTGTAATATACTCATAAGTAATTATCAAACTACAGACTGCTGCGATTACTTTTATTTCATGAAACTTTTTATAGTAATTTTAAGGCTAGTTCTTATTAAGCATTCTTTTACTCTCAAAAATATTCTCGAAACAAGTGTTATGATTTAAAATATATATTTTGGAAATTTATCTTATCCCGTTTAAAACTCATGACATTTAGACATTATCTATTGTACATTATATACTATTAATTTTACCGGTGTCATCATCGTTATGTTTTGATAATAATGATCTTTGATAATAGTATAATTATTAAATCATCACTAAATAGAGAGTATTATTAATATTAGTTATGTATTTTTGTATGTAGAGTGAATTAATTTATTTTTTGTAATAAAGAATTTATGTCAGTGTCTATTAGTTACTTTATTCAGATAAACCGAAACCATTTCCCTTTATTTCCTGGTGCATTTCCCACTAACTTCTCTTCATTTCCTAACAAATTTCCCTTAAATTTCCTTCATTTTCTATGACATTTCACTTTAATTTCCCTTCATTTCCTGGGATATCTACTATTAATCTTTCCATTGCAAATCCCTTTGCTCAAAACTTCAACAATGTTGCAAATCGCCACCCGCAGAATTCAACAAAGTTGGAAGTTCAACATTGGTGCAAATCGCTCCCGCGCGAATTCGACAATGTTGCAAGTTCGACA